TTTATTAAATAAATTCGTGTATTAAGTAATTTCGTGGTGTTATAAACGTCTCAATTAATTGCGGTGATTGCATGGAAACGCAGAGACAAATATTCTAAAAATCAAAAAATTTACGGAGTTGAAAAGACGAGGAAATTCTTTATTCGACGCGTATATTTTTTGTATATTCGACGATACCTCAACATTGGCTGAGGTGATTTAGGTGTTTTTTTTTTATTAAATACGTTGAACTTCATAAGTGGCCTCGTATAAATTTACGTATAAATTTATATGAAAATACTTCATAGCTGTAAGGGCGGAAGAAACGGAAAAAAGATTGTTATCATACTATTTAGACGATATAATCGTTATTACTTTGAACGTGTGATATTGCTTAGAATACTAAAAAAGATAAAAAATATACTTTTAATAAAATAGTTCACCCGAATCATATGTTAAAGGCTTATAATATCGAAAAAATGGAGCCCCGACTTCAAAGGTTATTCCGAGGAAAATATTTTCTTTTTGGTTTTTGAAGTCGCTTTTTACTTTTATGAAAAGGTCGCCCGAAGCAGAAACCTATAGAATATTTATTTACGCCGTTTCCTAATAAATGGTCATATTTTTCTATTTCCGTTCATAATAGGAAACGAAATTTTCCTCGAATTAAATTTTCGTTTAATATTCGCACAATGCTAACCTACTATCTGTATATTTTTAAAGGAGAAGCCCTTTTGTAATGTCATGAGAGTTTTATTTATCTGTACATTGAAAATTAATCTACAAGGACAGAAAAGGACACTTTATAAGTAATAATGTCCTCCAGACCGAATTTCGATTAAGGTGGTCTCAATGGAGATTAGCCATCTTCCCAGGATAGGATTATAGTACCATAGTATATGCGCAAGCACACGTGCATTCTCTATTCCCTAACTCATGGTCCGATGAGTCGGCAATCCAACGTGATCTGAGGGAGATCAAGCAAAGCACCGACTTTACGTGCTTTTCGAGGTACGGGGGTAAAATACCGCTAACTCCTGATTCAATACAATAACTGATTTTTGGTCCGAACCGGGATTAACACCTGGGACCTCATGACCACTAGACAAACAAGGCTAGTCATACTTTATAAATAATATGTTTTGTAGCGGCTTATCGCGACAAAATAACTTAAACAGGCCGAGCATCCAAACACTGCACTGATCGCAAATTGATCTGCATATCTTGCTATCTTTTTCCTTCTAAAACCATTAGTACCATAGTAATTTTTTGTAACGACCCTGACGTGATTGTGCAACGGAATTCGCAACCTTCAGAAACCTCCACATTATGTTTAATCCCCCGCCCTATATTCCATACGCTTATATATTGTGTATTTCAAGATAATTGGCAAATTTTTTGTGCCTTCAAGTCGAGGTATCTCAGAAATTTTCTCTGTATACTTTTACTACGAGATATATAAACTATATATTGGGGGTTCCATACATGGGACCCATATTCTAAATGGCTACGCACATATGAGGAATATATAAACTTAATTTAGAGAGCGGAAGATGGCTGAAATTCTTAAAATGAAACCAAGAGCCTTCTATGCTTTATTGACAATATATTCAATGTGTTTGATGTATTACGCCGAGATCATGAATGTGATTTACCTTGCTGATATTCTGATTGTGAAGAGTATAACTCAACTCAATACTAGATCTTGGTCGTGTGAATATTATATGAGTATGAGCGAACCAAGGTATATGTAATTGGAAACTTATCGCCGTGGCTGTTGTGGGCCAAGAATTATACAATTTGGCCTAGTGGGACCACTAAACTGATGACTCAGATCCCTTCTCATATTTGAGAGTCTTGGAGCAATAACGTCGCAATGCTCTGGTGGGTGTTAATAGACTTTTCATGTCAAGGAAATATCTTATACACAGATATGCAGTATTCCTTACGATCATTTCCTTCACGGCCGAGCACGTGGTAAATCGGCACATGAAATTGCCATTTTATTGGTGTCGGCGGGGTTCGAATTCGGGTTGTTTGTGTATTCTGAAATTTTCTACAAATTCTAAGCCGCTGATCCAGGCTAGTTACGTAGCTGTGAGTAAATAGATAAATGGATTGTCGTCATTATTATCAATATCGTTCAACTAACCCTCACCTTCCGGCAATCAACACAATGTGATACTCACGACATTGTAATGCCGTAATCACACTTACGGGAAGGTCGGTAGGTGTGTATGCGTCAGACTCGGGCTGAACCTTGCACCTGACCCGAAAGCTAAATTCGCTGATATATACTATACTGTGGCCCATACACTTCTAATTGTTTTTGCGTTTAGTTTTTCAGTTAAATATGATGACTTGAAAAAAATTCATATTTAAATTTTAAATTCTAAGACATCAGAAACAGCTCGCATTATAAATTTTGCGTTCATATCCAACTAACGAAGGCATTTTTGGTATTATCTTTATCGTAATGTAAACTTTGACTTGAAGAGTGAATCTTGAGAAAGACAAAAAATTTTGAAATTAAAGTAAAACGGCAATTTCATGCATTAAAATGTTAAAATATTTGGTATAAAGGAAGAGGAATGAAACTTTTTTATTGTGGAAGGTACAGTGTCAAAGATGTGCAAAATACAAATCCTAATATGTGTATGTCGTCATTAAGTCAATATACGTGGTAGAGCCATGCTGCTGCTGCTATTATGGTTGTAACACCAATGAGTCAGCTCGACATGTAAAAGACTATGCTCTCAGAAAACGCCAGTGTATTAGCAGCTCAATGCTGCTGTGTTTCCTATGGCGAGTATAGAGTATCGCATACTCTTTTTACTGAAGATGAAGCATTCTATTTTGCTCTCATGTATGAAAACATTTATCTGCATTTAGATTCTTAAAAGAGGATTAATATAAATGAATGTCTATGGATCACAGTATCCACTTACCATCTTGTGTAATTTAAACAAACCACATGTGTTTTCTATACAAAATACTTTAAACAATTAAATGGTCGCATTTTATCCAGACGCGATATTGGTATATGTTGATTTATCAGACAAGCAAGTTTATTTAGAAAAGCTTTAATTGGCGCCGAGGACGTAGTAAATTTTTATATGTTAGACTATATTTTATTGACTTTATTTATATATTAGGCTCTGCCAGAGGCAATGCTCTCACAGAATACTATAGTAATTTCTGGTATTCTGTGAGTGCGTGGTCCTGCCCCGATCGAGCCGACCCACTCATGCTACAATCAGAATAGAGCTGCAGCGTAACTCTACCACGTAGAATGCCTCGCAGCCTATAATCAATCATATGGCTATACCACTGCGGCTGGTATACACTAACTACTGCTGTATACTGACTATGGATACCTCTCAGATCGAAACACAGTAGTTACAGCAGAGCTGTTTAGCTGCAGAAATAGTTAAGAGCGTTGTACCTATCCTGTCGGACTCTGAGGCAGAAAGAGAGTTCCGTATACTAGTAAATTTTTGGTATATTTAAACGAACTCAATATTAAATAATAAAAATAATAATTGTCTCTATGTTTATCATATTCTTTGAAAATTGAGTTCGACATTCTCCCGCAACAATCCAATTGTAAATTGCTATTAATTTAAGTGCTGTTTTGAAATACAAGTAAAGGTGACGCTCGAGTGCACAGTCCATCTGTTAGTGGATGCAGTAACTCACAAATAAATTCATCAGTCTTCGAAAATAAATAAAAATGCTCCCCCAAGTTACAACACATCTGCATTTTGATTAGGTGACTCAGGAGTCCTGAGTAAGAAGGAATTCCGGTTCCCTGCAGTAACCATACGCAAGATGATAACATTATGCTGCTAATTTGTAAGTGCATTTCATCACCCTTATTCTATAAAAAATCCGCCTTTGTCCTCAGAAGTGACGACGCATCAGTAGCCATTTTTGTTAAAAGTCGATTGACTCTGTTCATGAACTGCTGTATTCTCTTTCCATACTGTGGACTGCAAGTTCGTATGTCACTTCAATTTTATCAAAAAAAAAAAGACTGATTTTCGCAAAATGAAACACACCCACAACCTAATACAATATTTTGTTTTTATTTTGTACTGGTTCTTCACCGCAATTTCGCCCGGCCTCAAAATTATTATAACTAATTTTCTTTGCGCGGAAGCCTAATTATTTTTCCAGAATGAAAGTAGCTTACGTTACCCCTTATTACATCTGCTATCTGTCAGTGAAAGTGTAGTCAAAATCGGATTAGCCATTTTGAATATTAGCCGGAACAAACAGACAGACAGGCAGAAAGACAGATAAATAGACAGACAAAAATTTAAGAGATTGTTTTTTTGTTATAAGTGCTCTATATACTTTTATATGCATTTAGTAAAATAGTGTAATTTTGACTTTTCAAACAGACACTTCAATTTCATTTATTTGTATAGACTAGCGGTTGTATTGTAGCATCGCACAATTGTTTTCTGGATCTCAACAATAGCGCCACCGACTGGGTCTAAACCATCCAGGGATCCACTCAAACACACACAAAAATTTCATCAAAATCGGTCCAGCGTAGAGTAGTTCAGTGACAAACAAACGTACAAAAAAATTATATACATAAAATACTACAAACTATATATATATATATATATATATATATATATATATATATCGACACCTCCTACGTATGATATCGTAACCAACAAATGTGCGAAAACTACTTTTATTTATTTTTGAATAGTTAATAACACCCTAAGTCATATAAACTATAAAATATTTGTATTTACAATGTTACCGGACTGTAATTTATCGTATGTTCCTTTAGATCGAAGAAACGTATCGTAACGGTGTAGTACCTACACTGTACGCGGGGGCGGGGGCAGTAGCAGTAGCGACAGATTACGCGGGGTACCCTAGTACATAGTCTGTAATCTATGGCGGGGTCGGAGCACGCCCGCTGCCGTTGACGCCATTATTCAAAAAACTTGCATTTATTTATGTATTTTATGTGCAGTGACAGCTAATATTCAAGTATGTCATCTAGGTCGAAACGAATGATTGATGCGGTTATTAAAGACGTTGTGTCTGATTCGCAAAATATGGTGGCCGTTAATAATTCAAATCGTGATCATCGTGTACGTTGCTACGAACCTATGGTAAAGAAGAAAGGTAAATATTAAGTTTTAATGATAAATAAACAAGAAATAAATATAATATAACTATTATTTATAGTACCGTGCAATACCCGCAGTAAAATATCGTATATAGAACTTACTATTTATATATATATATATATTTATATTAGTCTATGTTGTATTTAAATATTTTTAAACTGTCGTAAGTAAAACTTACGATACTTGACTAGGGAAAATTATTAAAAAAATAAATAGTATTTTGTACTTACGCTATTTCACATCGGAGTTACTTTTGGTAAATCTTTCTTATGCTACACTTACGATATTTTACTTTGATATGAAAAATAACTTACAACAGTATACTTTTAGAAAAAAGCTAAAACAATATTTTAGATTGTTTTTTTTTTCAGATTCGCCGCTTCCTTCTGATGCAGATATTTCTGAAATAAATCAAATGATGGATTTGTTATCCGATTCCGAGGAAATAATATGTCAAAGTTGTAATAATTCACTTATCACCAAACAAAGTAAGTAACAGTAATAAGCAAACCACAATAATCTGTTAGTTGTACAAAAATTAATACCAGCTTAAACTTGTTTAATTCTATCATTTAAAAACGCTAGTTAATTTAAAATATTTTACTACCATAAACGTCTTTAATCTTTCATGGTCTTTCACATTAGAATGATATTTTTATCGGAATATTTATCATTTATTATTATATTGATTTTTTCTCGATATTTTGGTACTTGCAACAGTATCGAAATATCTGTTAATAAATGTTTTATTACCTTCCTTTGCACGATAGTTAAAAATAATCTTGATTATTATTTTTAATTTCAGGTTTTTCTGACGATTCTCCGGCTGAAGAAAATATCACACAACATCCATCTCCCGATTGTAGCTTAAATCATCTAGATTATGATTGTGATAACCATTTCAAAATTCCCATTCCAAAAGATATTTTACCTCTACAGCCAGTTAATTCCAATATCACCGACTTAGCATATACCCCTCATGCAAACACGCCTCTCTCTTCTTACTCAGATGCAACACAAGTTTCTAGAAAATGGGTTTTCACGCCAAGGAAAGATAAGGGAAATATCAGACGTCGACATGTTACGGAATGGAAGGACAACAAAAGAAAAATTCTAAGAAACTTGGGCAAGGAGTATATTAAGAGTCGTGATGGTACTGTAAGAAAAAGCAAATCTATGGGTCCTGTGTGTCATGCAAACTGCAGACTGAAATGTTTAACAAACATTAGCCATGAAGAGAGATTATGATTTTTAATACTTTTTGGGGCTTAGGTAATCGTGAAAAGCAGTGGGCTTTCATTTCAAATTTGGTTGCAAAACAAAAAAACGCAGGGTGTTTACTGACACACAATCTAGATGCAATTTCACTTTAATTTATAGGTTATCAAGGGCAGATATAGACAATCAAGAAAACTATTTAACTGTGTGTAAGAAAATGTTTCTGAATACATTTTCAATTAATGAACAATTTGTATACACATCCCTGGCAGAAAGAAACAATATAAGTGGTTTGATAGAAGCCGACATGCGAGGACGTCATAGTAACCATCGTAAAGTAATATCAGAGGATATTATCAAAAGTGTATGCGATCACATAAAATCAATTCAGCCTGTAGAATCCCATTAAAACCACAATAGAAGTAATAAACTTTACTTAGACGGAGACCTGAATTTTCATCGCTTATTTGATTTATATAATGAGTGGCAAGGAAAATATGGGGCTAATGAGGTAGCAAGTTGTTTATTTAAATACATCTCTAAATGTAAGGATCAGGGTACAAGTGAGTGTAGGTTTTGGTCTGACAATTGTATAGGCCAAAACCGAAATCGTATTGTTTATGCTACGTACATGCATGCAGCTATTATATATCAGAATAAAATACACCATTGTTTTTTTTAAATTTGTGCATACGCAAAATGAGGGCGACAGCGTCCATGCTTTAATAGAGAGGTCCGCAAAAAAACAAACTCATTTATACACCACTTGAGCAAAACGGAAAGCCTTACGCGGTTGAGGAAATGCAATACACCGACTTTTCCGATTATAAGGCATTATTAAAGGGCAATTGGGTCAAAAGTAGATAAAGTTCAATGGAATAAAATAAGAGAGGTGTGTATCAATCAAACTTTAATATCCCTTTAAGTTGTTTTACAAATATGATTTAGCCGCTGATGATTACTACGTTTTAATTGTAAAGGCCTCTACTAGGCGACAATATGTCTCTAACGTAGACGTCCTGTACGACAATACACTGCCGATTCCAAAGGCAAAGAAGAATGATTTGTTAAATATGTGCAAATCACAAATTATTCCCCATGACCAGCACGAATTTTTCCAAAGTCTGCCCGAAATTAGCAATGACTTAAATTCAACTTCTGATCCCGATTCTAATTAATGTTTCCTTTTATTTTATTTCTGTTCTGATTTCTTAGATAATAATAAGTAATGATCTCAAAGAGTTCACATGTTTGAAGCAAGGTTGGTTTTTTTGTTATTTTTTTATTAGAGGCTAAAAGTTTTTATCACATACATAAGTTTTAGAAAAGAAAATATAACTTTATTTCTTATGTTTTTAAAAATACGTTTTTTTTTAAATATTTGATTTAATATTCAGATTTTGTCAAATAGACTCTAAACTTATTATTACAAAGTTGTGTTTTTGTTGTTTTTTTCTGATTTTTGTAATAATAATAATAAGCGCAAATACCATTTTTTAGAGAGGATTATTTTTGGACTGGTTTTATTTCGAAATACATTATGTTTTTTAATGGTAATTTAATTTCAGTACTCCATAATTTACGATATTTCATGACAACATTATTCCCTAGAAAATTATGGTAACTATGAATTACAATATACTTAATTCTATTTACATCCATGTAACTTGTCGTAAATACAATATACGATACTTTTTGTTTTGATATATTATAGTAAGTACTACCTACAATAAACTACGACATTTGTTTCCCAAAGAAAAGTATCTTAAGTGACTTTTAGCTATTCCCGTAATAATTTTTAATATTCTTTCTAAAAATATAGTTTAGTTCATAAATGTCTACCTACATGCCTATTTTGGTTCTTAAACAACAGAAATTGACTAAGTGAGCATCAAAAAACTTCTTACTCAACTTAAAATTGCTGTACTGGAAAGTTCATAAAATGAAGTTACGATTAAATACGTAGGAGGTGTCGATATATGTATACATATTTGAAGATGTTAGCGCTGGCCGACCAGCCGTTAACCCTACCTAATCCCGAGATTAGAACCTAGGGTTAACGGCGTATGAGCCTTAACTGAATGAGTATTTATAATATAAAACTTCACTTATAATATCATAAGTGTCAGTTAATAGTTTTGTTTGTATGATTCTTATCAGAGTACGAATTCCCAAACTAGAGCTATTTACCTAAAAGAAACTTACATTATAGAGAGGCACTTAGCAAAATTGGATTTTTGTTGACAAAATAGAGGTGAGCGGAAGCCCGACCGATTTAATAGTGTGGAGTATTACTCGTAATTTTAATTTCAGATCGCATACTGCTAAGTACCTTTTACTTAAATAACCTAATGAATCACTTTCAAAGTTATTCATAAATTAGTATGAAGTCAAAGAGATTTCTTCATTACATTTTTTTTCTGTTTCAGTTACCCTCTGTCTTCTCTTATGATATCCACGGGACGCTATGGGGTAGTGGATATTATTAAAACTGTGATTGCCAACGCGCTTGGTAAGCGTTGCAACTATGGAAAAATCCCCCTATGCATTACATGGGGGAAGCCCACGTTTAACAGCACACTAATGCTTCATATTGATTCCTAATTGAGGAGGTGTAGATGTCTATGGGCCACAGCAACCACTTAACATCTTGAACCGTGTCCTTGTGTGTCACCCTCATCCAATAAAAATGGGTCAATAATTCTTCATTAGCCCTTAATGTCCAATATAGACACGGCCTTCTTATGTAGAGAAGATACTCTCTAATCGGCATTAAGCAGGCAAATTGACCAGTGTCATATGTCGTGCACCTTCGTTGTAGCTCCCCATATCCGATGTGACTATTTTACGTCTGAAGAAGACGAGATGCTTATACCGCCATCTATCGGAAGCCATAAGTATTTCAGGTATTTCCTATTAGTCGCCTCTTACGATTGACGAAATGGGTTAATGGATTTACTTATGAAGCCACCGCACGGATTTCAAGTTTTGCATAATAGGATATGTCATCACTGTGTCACACATACCACGTAGCATTAATGAGTTCACTCGACCGGGGAAGGGCCACGCTTTCGGAATACCAGCGTAAAATATCAACTCAATACTTTTATCCGTGTTTCGTATGGTGAACGAAGTGAACCGGAGACCTTTTTTATTGGAATCGAGGCATTCTGTCTTAGTCCTCAGAGGTGACAACGCACCAGGATTTTGATTTTTAATGGAGTTGGTTTAGTATTCATAAAAAGTTACAGCCTATATAACGTCCCACTGCTAGGCTCAGGCCTCCCCTCATTTCTGAGAGGGTTTTAGGGCAAGGAAGTGTCGGCTGCGCTGCGTGCGCCCAATGCGTGTTGGCGAACTTCACATGCCTTCGAAATATTTTTTTTCTTATTCCTCAGACATGCAGATTTCCTCACGATGTTTTTCTTCACCGCCGAGCACGTGGTAAATCAGCACTTAAAATTGCAATTACAGTACGAACCCGGGTTACTCGCGTTCTGTTATATTTGCAGCGACCGTTAACCATCTGAGCTATCAGGGCTCTAGTAGTATTTATAGTACCTTGCTATTTCGCTGAAAAATCGGGGTTCCAATTCTGGAGACAACGACTGTGTTAACATAAATTGTTAATTGTTTTGGGGTCTGGTGGTGATGTGATTGTCACTGTACAGAAACAGGTGAGCGGGTGGTGCCTGCCCCGAGAGACTCCTAGGTAAAAAGAGAGTCCTACCAGATATAAATAATCTAGAAACAGTGATGTGTAATGCCGTGATATCACAGTATTTTTTCCGTCCCATCCTATCCAACTTATTGAGTCTGTCAATAAATTGTAAGGTAGAATATATTTTTGAATATCAAGAAAGACAACAAAGAGTTGTGATAACTTTTAAGCAAATAATCAAAAAAATAAAATTTATAACGACGACCAATTTTACCACATTTCTTCTACCTTTGATTTTCAAGTTATCAAGTTTTGCAAGTCTTCAGCTCATTGGGAAATCACTTTAAACATCTATTACAAAGTTTGTGCCGGAAAGACCAACAAACAAACAGAAAATAAAGTGAAATTGAGTGGTCATCCAGTTCTGGATAGTTTTTTAAGTTTTAATTACCCTGGCAAATTAATTGAGATTGATTAAAAAAATTGTAGAAACGAAGAAACGCGAAAGCGAAAACGAGGTAAAAAAAACGCCAAAAAATTGCATAATACGTGGTGTGCACTATACGTGGTGAGCCATGCTGCAGGTATATTATAGAATCACAAAGAATACCAGCGCAAAACAACAGCTTAATACTGCCGTGTTTCGTATAGTGAGTTTAGAGAACTATAGAGCTCTTTTACTGGAAACGAGGTATTCCATCTTAATCATCTGGAGTGACAACGCATCTACATTTTGATTCTTAATCGAGAATAGATGTAAGTCTATGGACCATAGCATCACTTTCCACCACCTTGACTGTGTGCTCTTTTATCACCCTTGGTTTATAAAGAAAAATAAATGTATAACCTATATTCGTCTCTCTACTGGGCATACGCCTCTTCTCTTTCTGAGAGGGTATATGACCCTCTACGAGCAGCTACTGTGCCGTACTGCTCCAGTGCGTGTTGTCAGGCTTCACACATATCCTTGTAATATTTTATATTTTAGAAATGCAGGGTTTCTCACGATGTTTTCCTTTATAGCCGAGCATATATTCAGTACAACAAAATCAGCACATAAAGTTGCAATTAACAATTTTATCGGTGCCTACGAGAGTCGAACAACCCGGCTTGCGTACTTCGTAGTTCAAAGCGTAAATAAATTAAAATTATAATCTATTTTAATGCAAATTAATAACTTAAATTTTAAGTTATTGTGATCATCAAAATTTCGTAGAAACTAGTTAGTATTATAAAATCATGGTAAGTGCCCAATGCCTAAGTCACAACAGCTACAATAATGATCCTTCTTCTTTATTAACGTATAACAGTCCATTGCTGGACACTGACATGTCCTATAATAACAAGGGTTTGCCATTATCATCACGCTTGGTAGGTGAACGAGCAATAAAAGTTAAAAAGTTAAAGTTACAGCGTACACTAGATGACATTTTTTACCGTTCGGAAAAAAATAGAGTGTAACATGTTAACGGAGTAGAAGCCTATGGCACTGATATTTTGCAAAAAATAAAAAATATTTTGAATTAGAAACTATGAATTTTTTTAAACAATTACTTTGCTCTTTGCCCTTGAGCCTGTGACCCTGCGAGGTGACAAGGTCAAAGATGCCTACTAAATTTATTGTTTTATTGCCGTTCGTAAAGTAGGGCGAATATGATTTGAATTTCGATAGATTGTAACTAATTTATTTGTTTTTATTTTTTGTAAAATATCAGTGCCATAAGTTTCTACTCCATTCACATGTTACACCCTATTTTTTTCCAGACGGAAAAAAGGTGATCCAGTATATGTCCTACTACTGGGCACAGGCCTCCTCTCATTTCTCATTTTTGGATTCCCGTGATAATTAAACAACCAAGAGGAAAAATGAAGTGAGTTGACTCTACGCCAGTAAACGAAAACAGATAATTTATAAGAGTAAATTATATTCATACTAAATGAAGCAACATTAGTCTAATGATAAGATGCAGACTGTAAATTTAAGGGTCGTGGGTTCGAATCCGCCATTTGACTACAGTCGTGAACCACTCGTACACAAGCATTTTAGCTTAACTGGAGGTTAATGGAAATATTAATAATTTAATGGCATTTCTAGTATATTATAACAAATTACTTACTACAACTTCTTCTTAAGTCCATCTTGTAAAATTATAGGCGGCAGTGACTCGAGATATTCGTCAGTCGCAGAAATGCCCTTCCGCAAAGTTGATCTGAAAGAGGTCAATGACCGGTATTGAAATTGATTATATTAAAACGCTAAACAGTGAAACTATTTTTCTATCATTAGAAAATCCATAATATTAAATTACTAATGAGTGGTTATTACATACATTAATATTTATAACTTTGCGCAATTTTAATATCTTGTAATGATGTTATAATATGAGAAAAATATTTAAATTTTATTATATTTTGTAAATCAGATAAGAAAATAGGTTAGCTATTTGTGTATCGAGAACAGTTAATGATTATTTCATTAACTGTTCTCGATACATACGTCAGACTTCATCGATTACCACGGATATAGGACAGATTCGAAAGGCTTCCGATTCAGTTTTTCAACAAATTAGTAAATAGTTTTTGTTTGAGTAAAAAGTTAAGAGAGTTAGTTAAAATCACGTCGGACTTCATCAACTGCAGGAGCATTGGATTCAAGAACGCTAATAGGAACCATTTTCTGCAGTCCTACTATAGCACACAGTGCATGTAATGTTACGGAATACTTGTAGATGCTATTTTTAAAACACGTAATGTCCTCTAAAACGTGAAACACAAAGGTTTTACCTGATTGAATCATAAATCTAATAGTAATAAAACAAGGGATTTACCTTCGGTAAAGGACGGTTAAATCAACATTTTCACAAGTAATAGTTTTCCTCAATGGCACATTAAAATCACTTGATAAAACATTAATCTGAATAATGTATTATAGTGAGTTCATGAAATAGTGTGTATTATAGTGAGTTGATGGATTCGGGTGGTTCAGCGGGGTTAGCCAAGTTGACTTAACATAATCGTCTACGCATATAGAAACATTAAAATAATGGGGAATGCCATATATGACACATTCATTTTACAGTTTTATGTTAGCTGGACCATATTGTAATTTTTTTCTTTTGCAAAGTATTGATTAGAATAGTTCTTAACAGTAAGTTTATGTAGAATAAAACTAATTTTAAGGATTCTATCGCGTTTAATTTCAACTTTTTTAATTCCCAACATATCGGGCACTATCTACCATATCACCAATGGTCACGAGGAGGGCCTGAGGTGTTGTTTTTGAATTTCATAGTTTAGGAAGAGTAGCAGTGGACTCTTTACGAACTATAGTATTTCTTTAATTTCTCTGACGTTTTTAGAGCAGAGATGAACCCACCCTGTTTTGAATACGTATCGGCGTACTTATGTTACTCACAGTATCGTTTAACAATTGCTGGAAAATGTGTTTTTTTTAATAAAACGTTCACATTTTTCTTTTTTGGAAATCATTTGCTGTATGATTTCGCCGAGGGAAATCCGTTAATCCTTCATCCCGCGAGTGTAGTTAGGCGACAACGCACGTGCCAGAAAATAGTTATATGGCATCCGATGTATGATGCCACATCATCTCGTTAATGTTTTAAGTAAAATAATATTCATCCAGGCGACAGGGATCAGGGTCTGACTTTGCAATAGTTAATATGCCTTGATTAAAACTACTTTTACGGATTTTATCGCGTTTAATTTTAAATGTTTTTTAATTCCCGACGTTTAGGGTGCTTTTCAGCACCCATGGTCACGGGGGACTGAGGTGACTGACGTCCCAATGTCAATGTTAATCCGTAGTACCTTCACCTTTTTAATTATTGTTTATGGTCCGATCAATGCAGAATGAACTTACTCGTTCTTGATGTCTTGCAGTGTTATGCTTGGGTTTAGTTTTAATTTTATTAATTACAGGGTTCCAAGCAGGTGGTAGTACCCAGCCTCCTTCTCTATTGAAATTAGGGTGTTTTTTCTTTAATTTCTTTAGTTTTAATTAATGTATAGTGTTCGCGTAAATATACGAAATCATTAGTTAATATGCCTGTCCAGCGTGACGAATGATGCAAATCCTCCCTATAGATAGCATGGGGGGCGTGTCTAGCACTGGACTTTTACTAAGCGATAAAAAAGAAAGAAAGAATATGATTTAAATAATTCAAAAACTGGTTAATTTCTTAGACAGTTTTTTCTAAGCGCCCGCCGTAAATTTCTTGCACGCAAAGAGTCCGGGTTCAATCTGGTTGTAATGACTCTTTGGTGCAACGGCTGAGGGTCGCAAGTTTGAATCCCGCTCGAAACAAGTATTTGTATGCCTGACAAATCTTTATTCGGAGTTTGCATAATTGTCCATGAGCATTTTATATTTGCTTACTGCCTCCATAACACACAAGAAAAGCTTAGAATGGGGGTAATGGTTCTTAAAAAAAACAACTTATATTGAAAATTTTAAAAATCCCCGAAACAAAACCCCGCTAAAAACCTGCTTTTTAACTAAAAAACCGCACCCAAATCGATTCACCCGTTTAAGAGCCACGGTGCCACAGACAGACGTACAGACAGACTCCTATCAGCCTAACTTATGACACCCCTGTTTTCGTCGAAGCTAAAAATAAATTAAATTAAAAATTTTAAAAATCTCCGAAGCAAAAAACGCTGATGGTTGAACGGCTGAACTGATTTTGATAAAACATGTTTAAGAACCACCGCTAGAATACCTGGTTTTAAATTTTAAAAAAAACGCACCCAAATTGGTTCATCCGATACTACAGAAAGACTCACAGACAAACACATAGGGGTAAAACTTATCCCACCCCTTTTTCTTCTTCGGGGGTTAAAAAATCCCTGCCAGTACCAATGAAAGTGTAAATTTGAGATTCAAGTGCTGATTTACCACGTGCTTTGTGGTGTTCGCGTACTGTGTAAGTTAAGACGAGCATGACCCTTGCTATCACAGCAACTTATTGTAAGGGAAACTCTTTTGAAATAAAGATAAAAATAGTACGACAAACACTTGAAGACAAAATCGATGTCCATTCGCATGCAAAAATGTAATTGCATACTTCAATATCTATATTTAGCCATTCCAGCACAGGGTTGAGTTTCCAACAGTTACTATATATCAAACCGAATAAATTACAAATTTCTGCGGGTTTACCAGAGGCGTGCCGGGGAATAAATTTTCAGTCAAATCCGCAAAAGAATGACGCGATGTTCATAATTCAATTTGAATATTTGTGGATTTCGGTACAACCATTAAAATCTTTATTAAACCGGATGCTGTTCAATGTTATATTTCTGTTTAATGTTCAAAGATTTGTGTACACATGACAAACATGCGAAAAGAGCATAAGCAATAATAGTATCCTATACTAATACCTATTTGGAAAGAAAGGAAAAACAAATTTTAATTTGTGGTTTGATCTCGACATACCGACTTAAAAATAATTTACCAAGAAATGAGTTTAATATCAACATAAGAGGTTATTGTATTGTATATTATTAGACATTATCACATTTCGAAGTTAGAAAATATCCTAAAAACTGTACTAAACATAATATACTACTAGTACTTGTTACATGGTAGTGTCATGCTGCAGCTATATTACTGGTATAGTTGTAGCATGAATGGGTCGACTCGACCGGGGAATGACCACGCTCTCACAATACCAGCGTAACATAGCAACACAATTATGCTGTGCTGTAGCTATTTTACTGGTATAGCAGTGTAATGGTGAGTGTAGAGAACCGGAGACCCATTTTACTGGAATCGATGCATTTCATTTTAGTCCTCAGTGGTGACGACGCATTTGCATTTGATTCGTAATCGAGGTTAAATATAGATGTCTATGGGTCACAGCAATCACTTAACATCAGATGGACTGTGAGCCCTTTGTTACTTTTTCCTATAAAAAAATTAAAAAAGACACAATCGTCCATCTCAATCAGACTCGAACTACCACCCACGTGATGGTAAGTGGTTACTGCAGCAGTCTCACAGCATGTATTTTCTTATAGAAGAGGGGCAAACGAGACCTGATGGTAAGTGTCGGACACCGTCTACGAACAACTGCAACACCAGGGGTGCTATTCCCCTTTCGCATTGCCTGCCTTTTGAAAGGGAGTAATCTCATTTCTTGAATATCTCTAAGTCATATCGGGTCTGAAATATCGACGGTGGTAAACAATTCCACAAACTAATCGTGCGAGAAATAATACTGCTACTAAATCGCACAGTTGTGGACTGCCAAGCAACCAGATAGTGTTGATGGTGTTGTGAGTTTTGTTGATTTAAACTATACCTCGGAGCATTCCCCGTAGAAAACGCGAAAGAAATCAATATTTCAAATAGTGTATGAATACACAAACTATTTCGAGACATTTTCTTTCCACAACTCAAAAACTTTTAGATCTACACACTGGTAATATTGCGTACCTAATAAGAACTCTCTGGTTATCTATACTTCCAAATTTCATTTATAAACCATTATGGTTCTTGAATTAATAAAGTTTGAAAAATGCCTTTTTATCACTACTTTTTAAATTTATTATTAGCCATTGATAGACCACAATTCCACCTGGTGCTGAGTAGATAGATGGTAAGTCGCACATTCTCAGTGTAACTAAACTCTATTCACTCTTGCCTTGACCCAGATTGTATTCGAATGCAAAGACAGACGGCGACAAATGTTACTTAAAAACTTGATATTTGGCATCGTAGATAATTATACATAAAAACTACAAGTTATTGATATTTGGTGCGGTCATTTAAATATTTTAGTTTAAATTAAAGATATTCATCATCATCATCATCTTTAAAGCCCATCAAAGTTCACTGCTAAACAAAACATTCCCCATAGATTGCGGCGTAGGGGCAAGCGCGTTGGACAACTACGGTTTATATTATTATTTTGAGTTGTTGTCAAAGAAATTTAAATATATATCTACTACTACATACTTAAATGTTTTTGGTTGTTGTCATGAAGATGCCGTTGCCAACCTTCCGTTTTAAGGTTTTCTCTCCTGTCTGTCTGTTTTGTGGAGTATTTGATTCTCTTACGCTACAGGGTGGGTCAAATTAATAATAATTAAGTTTATTATACTTAAACAACACACAACACATTCATCATGAGTAGTAATAAGCCTAGCGAGAATACTAGATCACTATGTGTCACTGGTTATTGCATTG